CCCGCTCTTTTGGTGTTAAACCTCCCTGGATTTTGAAAGACTGCTCTTTTGACATCTCACTGTCTATGCACAAGAAAGAAGATACTCCAAATTACGTCTTCAGGAATCTAATAGCTGAAAAAACCCAAGTATTGGACAGTACTGGTTGGAATCTTTTGTACACAGACGGCTCAAAATCTCCTGGTCTGCCTCCTGCTTGTGCGGTGGTAGATGCTACAGGACGGGTTCTTCTCAACCACATATTTCACGAAAGTACTTCAACTTTCACAACGGAAGCCAGAGCTATCCTTCACGCTGCCAACCTTGCCCATAAAAACAAACTCAAAACCGCTATTGTTACCGACAGTTTGTCTATATTACAAGCTGTTCGGAATCCTTCGACTTCGAGATGGAGCACCATCAACAAATTAAGGAATATAATTATTACACCCGACGGAAAAATTAAAATGTTATGGGTACCAAGTCACATCGGTTTACTGGGAAATGAGCAGGCTGATCGAGCGGCAAAGTATGCTGCTTTTGCTCTTCTAATTATGGATGATGTCATGGAAAAGTTGGATCTTCAAAGATACATTGGAAGAAAAGTTAAAGAGAAAATTGCAGAAGGAAATTTACAATACCATCATCAACACTACTCTTCCATTAACCCTCAATTAACTCCACCTTTATATCCAACAAACGTTGAGAAAACCAAGATCCAAACATTTTCGAGAATTCGCCTTGGTCATACAATTGCAACTCACCAATGGATCCTGAAGAAGTCTTCTCCCCCAATCTGCTGTTGTGGACAAACTCTTACTATAAAGCACATTCTCTGCGACTGCCTCAACTTTTCCTCGGCTAGAAGTATTGCATTTGGAACGATTAACCCTTTGAACATTCTACAATCTGCTTCAGAACAGAATATCAATTCAATATATTACTTTTTTAATACTACTAAGTTCACTATCTAATATCCATTTATTTAAATTAGAGCCGATAGCCTGTGTTGCTTGTGCTCAATGTCTTTTTTTAGTCTAAAAATTCATTTCATTAGTCTAAAATTAAAATAATAATAATAATAATAATATTTAAATTCATTCTCCAAAAATACTTTAATTTTAATGCATAAAGATACAAACAAATTGATTTACTAACATTGGCAATGAAAATAAATTCCGCACTTAATACACCCACCAAAACTTTTCAATTTCCCCGTTCATCGTTTATTTTTCTTCTTTCAGGACCGTCAATATTTTTTCCTAGCATACCAATATCTCAAGCTTACCAACTTTGCTGTTTATAAGAGATATTAATAGTCGTTGAAATTAATAAGCGCCTACAGGGTGGCAATTGCGGCAAATGGTACAAACCTTCTTACCACCAGAGCCATATAACATAGGCCCCGCCAGTTCTGTTTCAAAGATATTAAATGAATTCACGTCCTTTGTTTCTTCTGTATTTTTTCTGCAGCAAAAAAATTAATCGACAATAACAATTTTCAAAGATATAAATATTAAAATAACTTCCATTTTCACGTGTATTCTCATTACATTTTATTTGAGTTTCACCAACTCAAACAGTCACATCAGATGGATTGCTGCTAACACCTTCCTTAGCCGCTTATATCATAAAACAACAATTTTGACAATCCAACCGATTAATATTTTTCCGCCAAATCTCAACAGATGCATTTTTAAATACAATTGTGAAAACTACTCATGTCGACATTATCCGCAAGAAATTCATAGAAAAGTTGACCCGTCAATTTATCATTAATCATTATTAATCAAGCTAAAGAAAATTTAAACAATTAAACTGTATTTCATGTTTACTGACACATTAAAGTATGCGAAAGTTTGCTATGATAAACCTTTTGCAAGACTTCTCCCAGGTAGTGAAGATTGCACTGGCTCAAACGCATTTTTGCGTTATCCTGGCAGCAGAGCAAATTGCTTGCCAATCTCCTTTAAGAAATAAAAAAAATGTACTCAAATAAAATTATTTTAAGGAGATTTCTGTTATCTTATCTCTTTCGTATTGTTTACGGCATTCGAGTTCCAAAATAGGCGGCCTATTTTTGGACCCGTATTTGAATAAAACTTTGTTGAAACAGGACTTAGTAATATTTAAATACTCGCAGATGCCACACAACATCACCCTTCTTCAAATAAGTGCGTCGCAAATTTTTTTTTAGGCTTTTGGTATGGAACTATAATAAACAGAGAGAGTCGATGCCATATGCTTGCCTTAAGAGTGGACTGAACTCCAGTTGTTTTTAAATATGCATTAAACTCCAGCTTTGAAAGTGGTTGTTGAAATGACTTGGAGATTGACATATTCCAAGAATTACTTATTTTCTCGGTAATTACGTATTAACGCCACCACGGTAAAAATATTATTATTAAAATAAAAATTATTAAAATATTATTATTGTTATTATTATTATATTTAGAAGCCAAAAAAACGTTTTTTAAAAATTTAAAAGGTTGCTTTTTATTGGTTATTGCGATTAATGCAGCAAATGATATCGTAAAACCATTTAAATTGTTCACAACCGCACAATAAATACAAAAGCCACATTCAAATACAGCCAAAACTTAAGACTTTGGCGTACTCGCTTATCTTTATAAACATTTTTTTAAAGTACATTAATATTATTTGCGCAGTCAAAAATACATACTATATATGGGTAATACATATACAAATACAAAGTTGAACCCATTTATGTAATCACGGTAGCATCAACGATAGTTACAGGGAATCTTAATCAATTGACTTGATACGGTGCGAGTGGATAGCACTTAGCAGATTAGTCGAATGATTTCGCAAAGACCTCGCGACTGAAGTGTGTGGTCTTAAATTAAAGTTTTTTTCATTCTGGCACTCAAAATTATTAAAATCCAACAGAAATACCCACACAATTTTTATTGTACAGTATTGTACAGCCACACAGTTGTATGGCAGCTCTAATTGGTAACTCGTGAGATCAAGTATAATCAAATTAGTGCTCAAAACATTGAAAATAATAAAAGACTTGTGCAATTTTCATAAAAATTGCATAATAACCCTGCAATAACCTCTGCTCATTCATTCATGTGTGCGTTATATAAAATAGATAATAGCGAATTTTTCACCTGTTATTACAAGAAATGAGTATCTTTATAAAACCATGAAAGATGGTCACATAAAAATATTGAAATCCATTAATTCGCCCGAGAAGTTAGTAAACCATTTGCGTGATAAAGATGTTCAATTTTACACCTACCAAATGAATCAGAAAATACTACTATTAAACAACGTCCAGTTGGTAACATCAAAGTCGGTGTTGAAAAGTTGGAGCGCTATACCTACATTGTATATCGTAAATTTACTAAAAACCCAATGAAAATATTCTAGACAGAATAAAACGATGTACGACCTGAAACACTTCGATCATGTAGTTGGAGTTGGAGCTGCTTTAAAAACCAGAGACATCCTCCTGAGTGTCAAGGTTTTCAACACAAGAGCTTATTGCACAAAGCAAGTCAAATGTGTTAAATATGGCTTAAATTATTTAATTAAATACTACAATAAAAGTAACCCACACAAAATATGTCAATCGGTTACAAAATCACCTGGGCAATTATAAACGTTGTTCCATACACCAATAGCTTCTTAAAAGAAACTTCAAACTTCTACATCACCCAGTTCAGGGCAGAATAAGCGTGACAATAATTATTCCTTCAAACAAGAAGGCCCTTTGCTGAATAGGCAACTCCCAATCACACATAATACTGATATGGTTAATGGTAATAATAGTCTTCATAATTGCCACTACACCGATAGAGTGAAAAATACAAATCCGTCTTCAAAAATTGCAATTTTGATTAAAAAGCAGGTTGGGACGACAAATCCTTTCACCAGTATGATTTATTCCTTTATTTAACTAATTAAATTTCGTTACAGAACAAGTCATTAGCCGAATTTAAACTACAAAATAACTTAATTGTAGCCAAGAGAAAAAACGTTAACCTATAACATGCACCGCAATTAAACTAAGCACTAACTTAAGATACACTGATATATTTTGACGATTGAACATGTGGTTTTTTATTATTAATTGAACAAATCAGAAGAAAATCAAATACAAAAAAAAAAAATAATAATAATTATTATGATCCAATTTATCTGCATTTGTACGAAGCTCGCAAATCTTTAGCAATTAGTTATGCAACACAATGCATTTAACCTTATTAAGGGACAAAACAGAAATTCTAGTAAATGGTAATGATTGTTGAACATTTTACACATTAGCCGAAACGGATTAATCCATTAATAATTGGTTTGGTATTGTGGCAGCTGCAAGAGTACAAAATGACTTGGGGCCCTACTGGGGGTTTAAATGCTAATACGTACTAATAAAAGCGGAGGTCCTCAGATAGGAGAGTTTTGTTACCAGTGGTTCAAATAGTTTGAATAGTCCGTTAAGTTTGACAATTCCCCTATAATTCTCAATCAGTTTCTGAGATCAAGGAAAGTAACCTTTTTTTAAACAAAAATTAAAAGTATGTTTAAGGGGAATATATAGCAAAACAGTACAATGTTGGAGAATAGCGCTTCACACAAGTTGGAACATATCAAAGTTGACAATGTTATAAAAAATTTTTTTTTCTACGAAGGGCACAGATGGCAAAATGTTAAACGAGCTTATCGAATAGCGATGATTATCAAACGAAATGTGTTAACATTGGAAGGCTTTCCCAAAAAAGTATGCAAAAATATCAGCTATTACAGACATGCCGGATGGTTCGAAAATGTCAAAGTTCATAACGAAAGGATCACTTTTGATCACTTCATCAGACGTTCCATCTATTTGATAAAATAGACAATTTACGGCCAGTTATAAGAACGGCTGGTGACTATCTTCAAGTGAAACAAAGAAATCGGTTCTAGAAAAAGATAGATTAGTATCCCACCAAAATACAAAGTAAAACAACCTATTACTTACATTAAAGATGTTGTTAAGCTAGAAAAGACTTAACCCATGGACAGCAATGAAAAGCACTTTGTAAATTAATGCATATGAAAAGGGAAGGTCATTGTTCAAAACCCACGAAACATAAGACGCATTAAAATTACCAAGCACTATCCAGCTATCACTGGGTTCGATTCAACTAATAATATTTTTAATCAAAGATTAAATAGTGTTGTGAATACTATTTCTTATAGCTACACTCGAAGTTGTTTTCCTGCGATGACTAGGAACCGCATAAATGTACAAAAAAACTGTACCAAAACAGGTATATGATTAAAAGTAAGCATTTAAACGCATACAAACTCAGCTGATGTGGACGCAGAAGGACAAGCCGTAGGGAAAGTTGAGAAATGATTAGCACACTGTCGCACCTAAAGATCTTAAAATCGAAACAAAAAATATCGCTATGAAATATCCCCGGCTTAAACCTGATTTCTGTAAATGGTACAACAAGATAATCAGAATTAACGGGTGTTACAAACTTATTGCATAATTTCGATTTAAGACCATGTACATTTTGGTACACTTGTTTCAGCAAATGGTAGCTATATTTTAATTTTTTGCTTGCTGAAGTATCTGCTTTAATATCAGTGGGGAGATACTCTTTTGACGGCGTACAATCTATTTCATTAAAACCCCCTGAGGGCATAATTTTACAAGCATAATAAGTGCAAGGAAGACTACCGGAGCGATTATTTTAGGAGAAGCGATATATCTCTGACGAGAGAAACTGAACTTAAAAACACTGTATTTCTTCACGTCTTCCTCAGACATGTTATTACTTCAGTACTTGACAATTGCTTTCTTGCAGGTACACGCCGATAATCGCGATATAAAAATAGATTTTTGTGCAGTTACCGCTACCAACTGATAGAAATCTAAATTAGCAGCAGTCTCTTCCAAAGGGTTCTGTAGCGCGTTAACTGTAGATCCACAATCATTCATTGGCGCCTAATGCGGGCAAAGGCAGTATTCACCTCCAACTGCAGATATAGCGCCTGTGGGTAAACGAGTCTGAATCTTAGAGGTTATTTTTACCGAGAGGTCGATAATGCATTCACTGGTTGATACATCATGTGGTTCCGGAGCGGTAGAGGCTCCAAATGCACCGAAACATGCTGCGGTAGTTCTCATGGTTATCTTTACTGTTGCAGCGTCGCTATCCGTCGGGGAACTGAACATTTCCATCAACTCATTATCCTTAAGCTGGTACAAATTGCGCGGTTAATCCTGAACCTTGTTATGCATGGCTGGATTGGGCGACAGGAAATCCACCAAGTCTATCGATAACAGGTCAACGTGCTGCATGCTAGCAAACTCTTCTACCGTGTACAGAACAGATCCTAAGCTGAAAATGTCGATCTAAATCGGTCCCGTAGGGGACGATGGACACCCCACAGTGCAAGTTGCACAAGTTTTGGATATTCGAGATGAACCAGAATTCTCCGAAAACTCACATGCCCCAACACCGCGTCTAACATCTTCTTGGCATCTAGAAATCCCAATTTCGTTTGTGTGATCTGTCTACAGAAGTCGATGTCCGTCTTTCCGTAATCCGGCCAAGATCAATGCAGCCCTTTTGAGTCATCACCAACAGCATCAGCTGCCTTGTCAGTGAGATCTGCGCACTTGGGGTGCCCAAAGTCTTCACACGACCAGCGCATTACATAGTGGTCGGAACTGAAACCAGTTTTCGCCTGGCACGGGTTGAGAAAACAATTCATATCACCACAATATCGAAATCAATCACAATCATCTGGAAATGCTACTACTATAATGGTTTTGCTTTTGTCGTTTTACGAATAATTTTTGCATAGAAGACAGTGTTCTAATTCCACCCAGTGCCTTACAACCACTTTCCGTGTTGAAAATCTCATAGGCGATTTTAACCAGTCGACAATATATTTATTGCGAGCCCTACTTTCCCAAATATTTATATTAAATTTGTAAGCTAGTGCAGAATATAATGATTATAATGTTTTCCTCAAGCAATTGGGTGCAAAATATTTTAAGCTCGTATAAACCAATTACTGGTTTACCTTTTCTACAATATTTGAAAAAATTTATATATGAAGACTACCTCTACAGAAAAAACTTATAATTCTTGACTATCAGCTCAGTATCAGGAATAAACATGGTACGATTGAGCAATATTTTCGTGTTGTTTTGTACTTCAGAGAAGTCATTGAAAGTAAAAACAATCAAGAACATTATAGTCGGGCAAGGCCGACCTTTAAATACCTCACAGCGGTTCGTCTAGTATAGTTAGTCGCTCGTTTGGTAATAATACATCAAAAATTACACAGGATTTTATTAACGAAAAGTAAGCCTTTGCATGAAAGCCCGTATATTAGAGCATGCCGAAAACATCATACGACATAATCAAAATTTAGCAAATGTAATATACTTCTCGAACATTTCATTATTTTGGAAATTAGATCTCTACGATATAAAGATTCAGTTTTCATAGGAACTGTTATATGAGACGGGACTCACAAAATTTGCGCCTGCCGAACCAAATTTAATAAAATATAAAAAGTGTTTTTTCTTAGGTCCTTCCGTGTGTTGCATACGTCCGCTGAAACTTAATATACTTTGTACTGCAAGTGGTGAAGAGTATAAGTATTGGGATGGTGATATTCTTAGGTGTGGAAAATGCCTTTGTCTGGCATGATGGTCTACTCTTCAAAGTTAAAAAAATTCTTCCAATTCCTATATATTTGCTGTTTAAATCTTATTTGCGAAACAGACGTTTTTATGATAAAGTTAAAAACGATAGATGCAATATAAATGAACTTAACGGTGGGATTCCCCAGGGAAGAGTTCTAGGTTTAATACTTCATCAGAATTTCACTTAAGATGTTCCGATCGCTGACAACACTTTAGCTGCGACGTACGCTGATGACACAGCAATCCTACTTTGACCTAGTGGTTTTTTACAAACTACAAGTTTACCTCAAGAGCATTTCGCTTTGGCTAAATTTTGAAATAAATGTTGAAAAATCTACGCATATTACCCTCAAGCTAAAAAAGGGGTCTTGTCTTTTTAATTGCAGTAATATCCCTATAAAAGAACAACGATGAACGTAGAAAAATGATATAAAAACTAAATTCGACCAGCAATTCGGCTTCAAAACAAGAAAACTTCGTTGAATAATTCGCCTAGAATGTGAGCTTAATCTAAGAGACAAATACATTTTTTGCAAGAGTACCCTTCAACCTACTTGGAGCAATGATATAAAATTTTGGGAAACAGCCAGTGACTCTAATATTGCAATGCTTCAAAAATAACAATTCAGAACTGTGTCTTATTGTTAATGCCTCGTAGTTCGCTAGCAAGAAAACTATTCATGATGACTTGGATTTTGCATTCATCAAAAATCTAATTCAACGCATTTCCTCAAAATATATTGCCAGACTTCGTAATCATATAAATCGCTGGCAATATATCTTCTGGATAAATCCAATAAAATAAGCAGATCGAAGAGCCACGACGTATTAAGTTTTCCATTGAGAAATTATGTCTTAAATTATTGCAATAAACTTTATAAGTTTACGTAGTTCTTTTTTATTTACTTGACCATCATATCTGTTATTTTTTGTTTTATACCCACTAGAGGACAACAAAGGTTGTTATTTTTCTCATCTCGCTGTAATATTTACAACTCACCTTTTTGGATAGATTGCAAACTAAATATAATGCGTTAAACTACAGTTTCACGCAATCAAAAACTTAGCTGTACAAATTTTAAAAATTGATTGAAAACTTACGTTTACAGAAGTGATGCGGAAATATACGAGCAAACCCAGGTCGGCAACTACAGCGCCAATCGTAGTCAATGAAAGTGCAATATTCGTTGTGCGTGGACTTGCACGCAGGTTGACACTTGGTTTCGACCACATTTTTATTATATTGTAACCGGGACGTAAAATCCGATGAAAATGGATAATTATAATCATATGTGTACTTTTCAATTGTAGATTCAGGCGACGTCTGGACAAACATATCTCCTACCCGTATATTGTTTACAACTGCACTAACATTGTATGTTGCGTTTGTTTTTATATTCCGGCTTAAAAAAAGGTTTTCATCGTTTGTTGGTAAATCAAACGATAAATTATAATCATAATCTAAGAGAGTACTGTTAGAATTACGACTATCATTCCCAAGTCTAAGATCGGTGTTAATATCTTTCACTTGTTGAGATGTTAACTTTGAATTTTTCTTGTCGTTAGTCATAACTATAAAGATGCTGTCAGGCCCTTCATCGGTAGATGACGTCCACTGATGTTTTCTAAAGCTGACGGAATTACCTAATTCAAGAGAACTATCGGGCACAAGAATTTCTACGGAAGGGTATGGTTTTTTTTTATAAGTAATCTGAGCATGGTTTTTAAGATGAGGAATGTTGTTAACTTCGGTCACATTATCATTTTGCTCCTGATATTCATATTCTTGAATAGTTACTGACTCTAGGAATAAACTGAAGTGCGGCGCAAGCGCGCGAAGTGAAGAAGTTATTAAGATTGGCTGGTTCTGCAATGTTCGACTTGTTGTTAGTTGCGCCGTCGTAACTGTGGTAAATTGCAAAATTTTTGAATAGGCACTTTTTATATTGTTCATAAACGTTCGTGTCCGCGATGTGATTGTATTAATTTTAAAGCTGGTTTCACTAACAATTGTCTTGACAGTTTCGGTTGGAGTAATAATAGTCGCCGTTGCAGTGGCTGCTTCCGTGGAATACGTTGTATTTCCCATGAATTTTGCAGCCGTCTCGACGGTCTTAAGTGCGGTGGCGGTAGTAGTCGTAATCGTTGTAATCCAGAATGACGTTGTGAGACTTGCCGGAAGGTAGGTTTCGGAAGATTCCAAGGAGTGCAGCAATTTGATCGCATTTAGTTTTGAACTTATGATTTTGCTGTTAGACTTTAATTGCTCTACATATACCAGCTTGTTCTTACTGCTCTCACTGGTTATTAAGCTACGCGAAAATTGAGAAACAAGATCGAATTTTTTATTTAAAACATGCATTGTTGGAGTAATCTTAAAGTATGTTAGTGGTGTAGACGCTAGTTCTGGTGTTATGCTTGATATCGACTCTTTTTGGAGGGTGGAATAACGTTTACGTGGAATAAATGTCTTCCTAGCAAACGAGGCCAGATTTTCTGTTGATGCTGGAAATGTCGGATTTAAGCTATAAATGTTGGGCAATAACTTTAAATTATGTGAATAAAAGTAAGACGTTGATGACCGTGATAAATCGTATTCATCAATATCGTTTTTGGTTTTTTGAATAGAAGACGTTGAATTATTATTATATTTTGCGTTAGTTTTGCTGATGGACCAATTTCCAATAACAAGACCTTTTAAGGTTTGTTTCATTTGAAATAATTGTGGGCCAGTCTCCCACAGAGATTCTCGTTTCACTGTATTATTGAGTGGATTTTCGGGTGGTTCACCATTATCTAACCTGTCGGACTTAGAAACGTCACCAATTTTCTGATGTATAAACCATTTAGTAATCGGACCCGTTTTTTTCGATTGAAGGTTAATTTCTTGTCTCGGCCCTGACAGAAACACTCCCTTTGGTTTTGAGAACAATACTGGGTAATATGACATAGCGATTGTTGAACGGTTGTCTATTGTTGAAAGAAGGGGTTCAATCACGTGTTTAATCTCTTGTCTAGTTGACAAGTTTCGTATGTGCGTTTGTTGATTTTTAGATGATGGTTCATCGTTTTCTTTTACCCATTGATGTGGATCTGCGTTTTCAAGCACTAAGGGAATCTCCATGTCTACACTGTTTGCTTCCAAAGTGGTTGATTGCTCTCCACTTGTAGTTGATGCTGTTCGCAGCCATTGGTGGTATTCTTTTTGTGATTTAAATTCATCATCTGCGTAATTACCTTCTCGATTTAACTTTTCTTGAAAGTGGTTGCTTTTATGTTGATATAAAATATCCTCAGGGTCTTCCATTACATTATTATTTCCTACCGTAAAATTTTTCTTAAATTGTTTGAACCATTCGCTTTGTAAATTTAGTTGATTATTTAAGAGGTTTTGGCCTAACAATATATCTGACATTCTCTGGCCTAGTGGTATTTCATTGTTTGCATTTATAAAATACATCGGTTCAGCTTGCCAAACGTGTGAGTCTGTTTCGTTGGATCGAAAGTTAGAGTTTCCTAGAGATGTGGTTGGGGTTGGTAATGGTATGTATCTAGAAGAATTGCCAGCCTCAATCTGCGGTGGTATGCCTACTGATGGCGCTATTGTTCCTAAAATTTTTAGAGGTGTTAAATCAATCTGCATTTCTTGCCTGTCGTTCGGGATCTTTACTAGCGGCATATAAACTTTCTTAGACGGCGTGGTAACGGATAGCTGGTGATGGTATTGCCTTTCCACTATTTGACCATTAATGAACGACGCCCTCTGAGGATAATCGTGATCCCAATTGAATGTCAAAGGTGGCACGTGAACATTGACATTGTGGCTTAAAACATTTTGATCCAGGCTTATCTGTTGCGTATTTTTCAATATATTCGGTGGTTTTAAAAATTTCGTTTGAAGGCTTTGGATTCTTCCCCAAGGTTTGACTGTGGAATACTTGTTCTTTTTGATTGTTGTTACCGACAGTCCATTTTTGGTAGATGCGTTCGACATAAGTGGCAGATTAAACACATTATTTTGAACAAAAGTGTTTTTAAACAGACTGGTACCAGAATAGTTATTTGCTTTTATTAAGATCTTTGGTGTTGGGGCTAGTGGTAGTGAAAAAAGAGGTTGAGTCACTATGGACGAAAGAGGTGGCGGTCTAAGTATATTGTTATCAAAATTTCCAACTCGCTTTTGTTGCTTATATAATATTGCCGAGGTGTTTTTGAAATTTTTTGTATTCAATATCTCATTTGTCGGGATCAGTGGGAGAATAGCTTCAGTTCCCAAATTAGTGCTTCTGTCTGCGTAAGAAGTTTTTAAAAGAGGGCTCTTTAGAAGTGTACCTTTGTATTGCTTGTGTACTATATTATGAGAGTTTATTAAGTGATTTAAAGGTATTTGTCGGACAATTCCATTAGGCTTGCCAACAATGACATCAGAATTAGCAGTTATAACTTCTCCAGGACGTATGGGGATGCCTCCATTTTGCATTGGTGTCTGTAGTTTAGTGCTAGAAGATGCAAGCCTCTTCTTCTCTGACAGAAGCGATATTAACCAATTATTATTATTATTAAATTGCGAAGATTGTGGATTTGGGGCAACTGGTTTTCTACGTAAACTCTGTGGTATTTGATCAATGGAGTTTTCTATCTTGGCCTTAATTTCAGCGTTTTGTAGACTTAAAATTGGTATATAGAGAGGGTGCGAGGTTCGATTTAGCATTTGTCCAGTCTTTTTGTCATTAGAAAGCTTTTTTTGCGGAACATATATGTTTTGGATTAGCTTTACTGGCTGCGTTCGATTTGGAATACCAAAATTGTTTTGAAATAAACCAGCAACAACATTGAACATAGGTTTAAGAACAGTCAAGCGTTGAATAAGTTGATTTGTGGGCAACTGTTCAGGTGTTTTTGGCTCCTTTTGCTTAAGTATTTTCAACTGTGTTTTGTTTTGTTTCTGATTTATCTGTATATACTTAGTATCGTTGGCATATTTATTAGGATGTGGATTGTTCACCGTGGGATCGTGTTTATTAGACACATTCTTATGTACTGTATCACTGGAACTGTTGGCGGTTATAATGGCTTGTGGTATGACAGAAGCTGCATAAGATGGAACGGAATTCTTCATAATGTCAACAGCTGTTATTTTTAGTATTTCTCCATTTTCTAAAGTTGCCATCGCTACTAAGACGCCTCTTTTATTATTTTTTTTATGTAAGTCGCTGCGCACTTTAGACATTAGGTCAGAATGTATCAGCGTATGTGGAATCCTTTTTGTAACAATATTCTCTGCGCCATGCGTCTGGTATGCTTCAATCTTGTTAAAATTCATCAAATGAATAGAATTTAGAACATTTGAAGTTGATTAATAAGTGATATTGCTTACATATATTGAAGTGGTGTAAAATTGTATATTGTCTATTCCTGATTCCTCTGATTGAGGGGACAAAGTCGCAAGTTGCATTTCAGATAACGAGAAGCTATGGTGGCTTTCAAGATATTTACTTACGTTTCTTATCACATCATCTCCGGTCATATAATAATAAGATGTCAAAACTGACGTAATATGCGCCGGCGGTAACGATCTGGTGATTATGACTTGCGTTAATATATTTGACATTGTGTGTAAAATAGCACCGGTGTCATTTTTATTAGTCAGTAAAATTTTAGTATAATAGGTATTCGTCTCTAATACCGGCGTGGCGGACTCTATGGGCTGCAAGTACGCTATGTAGTCATCAGGTCCCGTTATAGTGTTGATCACTGTATGGGCCGATGTTATAATTACTGGGTTATTATTATAATCGATGATAGTATTGTAGTACGAGTAAGTCGTAGCAAAAGCGCCAACTGCCAAATCTGGTGTCTAAATCCAAGATGAAAATAAAAATTGACAAAATATGTTATTAGAAATGAGTAAAGACAAGATCTTATAAAATAACAAAATGTAGTAGAGGAAAATCTTGCGCTAGCGTAAATACATATCTGTATTTCAAGAAAACTAAACAATTCATCACGCACTACGTCATTTTAAACGATAAACCTTCTAAACAATCTCTTTAATACAGACCGACGATAAAACTTTTGCCAAATTCAAATAGGTATGACGATATTTTTTTATAATAAAGTAGCAAAAATACATGAAACACACAATAGGATTTTTCGTAAAGGTGTTTTTTTTTTTTTTTTTTGTTTGTTTAGAGATGGATTGGACCAGTTAAGTTAATGTTAGATCCATAATCCAGAAACGAAGTTGAGAGCGATTGATGAAAAAATCCAAGCGTAGGTAGACTGATGTGGCAGAGTGTTCGCAATGAGAGGCTCTGTTCCGCTGTCAAATCATAAATCACCGTACTTGGTACAGTACTGTCAAGATCCGGCTAATAATGCCGATAAAAGAAAAAGTGTAGGCGATTCGTGATTGTAATAGAAATACTAAATGTAAAATTAGAATGAAAACTCAGCTGATTTGATAAAGGCAGTCAGTTGGTTCAAACGCCTAAAGTTACCAGCACGAAAAATTTCATATAAATTGTCATACAGGTTAAATATACTGAAAGATTGTCTAAGGATGTCAAACCTCCTGCACTCAAAAATAAGGTGCTCGACAGACTCAGTAATATTGCAATCCTCACAGATGTCAGAGGAGGAGACTTTGATCATTTTAAAATAGACCTTGTCGTAGGTGTGATTACTCATAAGACGGTGAAGAACTTTAAATTGCCATGTTGTGAATTTTCCTTTAGGTAAAAGCGTAAGTGTCAAAAAAGGGTAAATTTTGTAGAACAGCCGGTCACTTTTATCTTTAGCTAAAACATGATACTCATCTTTCCATTCTTTTATGATGAGTTTTTTGACTAGCAGAAAAGCTTCGATGGGGGGGTAGTTTATGGACAAAACTGTACCATCGAACCTAGCTTGACGAGCATGGAAGTCAGCTTTTTCATTGATACTAAAACCGCAGTGACCTGGGATCCAGATAATGTGGCATTTTTCAATACTTGGGTCTTTTAAAAGGTTGTAGATATCGAAGACATACTTATTGAATGGGTCTTTGTTCTTGATTAAAATTAGAGCAGATTTGCTGTCAGAGAAAACTACAAATTTTTTCAACTTAATTTCAGATGCATGGATGATTGCTTGTCTGATGGCCAGAAGTTCAATGAAAGAAGATGATAGTTCTTGTAGAACTTTGAATTTTCCTATAAGTAAGTTTGGGTATTCAATAATTGAAAAACTAGAGATGTCCGAATTGATAGATCCATCCGTTGCGTATATTTTCGTAAAGGTGTATCATATTGCTTTATTGCTTATTTATTTATTTACACACGATATTCGGCTCATATAAATTGACAGCCAAATTCGATGGACTCTTGGAAATAAATATTATGCTAATTATCATGACTATACTATTAGCGTATATAGAGAAAAATAAAGAAACAAAAGCACAAAATTGATGTATAAATAAACTAGAAATAAATAACAGGCACACATCTAAGAAAGAAGCAGTAGCAGGTGCAGATCCTAGTCGGGAATGAACCTCTAATCCGCTGCAAACATGCAAAAGGTTGACATCTGGTAAAATGAATATAGTCATATTAACATCTCTACGTTGGGTGAACTTTATGAAAAGAAAAGTCATAGAAAGAAAGTTAAGAAGATTGAAGCATATCCCACTGACTTAAGTAAGAAACAAACAGGAAGGACTAATCTACGTTTCTAAAGTGTTAATGCGTATAACAGGAGCAATCTATTTTTAGAAGAAGCCAAAGAGGTAACTGGGTCCCGAACCAAGTACCTAAAAGCAGGAATCGCTATGAAAACGATTTTACTAAATCTACCTAGCAACTGTGTGATGCAGATCACACAACAGATGCATTGGTATTGGTCTATCCAACCATATGCATAAGCTTTTCATAACGTATGAGCCGTCGACTTGCTTAGGCCACCGTTTTATAAAAATTATCGCTGGCCTAATGCTATTCAAGTCACTCTGCAGAACACTCTTAAATGCATGAACTAATCTACATTTGTAAATTTTAATAATTCGGTGAATGAAAGTTTTCTTCTTTTTTGTAGATTTGATTTTATTTATATTTTTATGAATGAAATTTTTTTGTGTTTTTTTAGATTTGATTTCATAAAATTTAATGAGCACCATGTAACTGGATTTTTGAAGTCAAATTGAAGCAGATACAAATCCGATTCCGCCGATTAAAATATGGCTGGACTTAATTAGCGAAGGGAGGTCATTGATAAATAGAAAGAATCATAAGTGACAGCTTTGAGCGATACTTGGTATTATAAGAAATTAATCAGACATGAGGGAGTTTTAAAGAAGGATCTATTATTAAAATAAGAGTCTAACCGTTTCAAGAATTATAAGAGACAGCCACAGGTCTGGTGTTTAAAAATATTGTAACGGTTAATCTTCTTTTTAGAAAGCCATGTTGAAATTGAGAACTAGAAGAGTTGACTTTTTTTTTAAAGACTTTGTTAAAATTCCTTCAAATAATTTAGGTAGGACACTCAACTTGGCAATGGCTTTATGGTTCTCGACGCACGCATATGTGTAATGGCATAAACAAACTGCTCTTCCCAAACAAATGAAAAACATCTGGTCTTCGAGAAAGATTAAAAATCTTTGAGATAATATCACATAGTTCATCAGCGCATGATTTGAGCATACAGGGTGAAATGCCATCAGGCCTAGAAGCGCAGCTATATTTTAGTGACCCTAAATATTGTAAAATATCATTCTCTGAAATGACCAAAACCGGGATCGAAATAGAGTTTGTGATTTCATAGGGAAAATTATCAGTTAAATCAACATCAGCAGTAGAAAAATTTCCTCTCAAGCATTTAGCAAAAAAATTCGAGTTTTTAAAGTCACCAGAGGAGTTAGACTTATGAAAATAGATGATGAAGGATATATTAAGTTTTTTGTTTTGGAGTAAAGAATTTTATAAAATTATTTGGGATTAATAAGAAGTGAGAACTTCATTTGGGATTTAAATCATTAAAAATTAAACATCGATTCCGACAATTTATAAACTTTTTGCAAACATTGACATCTGTCAAAATTTTGCTTAAATTCTCAGTACTTGGCAAATTTTTTGAAGCAAAATATTTGTTATTATTGTCATGACCGACTCTTATACACATCCATATACAAATATATGTGATAGGAACATATGTTAAAAGTTGTTGTACCTAGGTCAACTTGCTATTGTGTTGTTTTTCATGCTCCACACATTATTCTTTTAATATTTTTATATGAACAAAAATCTGTTTACTTATATCAATATATTTTTTTCAAGCGTAAATCCGTTTATCGGTGTTTGGATGGTAGCAAAACGTCAAACAAATCAATAAAGCACATTTTTATTCATTTCGTAACCACATAATTTAAGCATTTCACAATTGATGGAAATATTACTTCAGAAGACACTACTTTTTTTATTTTTAGTAAAAAGCATAATATATTTTTCTCAATATTTTCACTATGGATTTTGAAAACTCTTCAATTCAGGTCAATCATTCTAACTTTTTCACCATCTCGATTTTATCTTATTTTCTTTTCCTCTGCACAAGTTGATCAAAGTTTTCCCTCAACGTCATTCATTTATCTACGCACGAGATTAACAACGACATTCTATAAGGTTGCCTTTGTAGCTAATATTACATAATGTAGCCACATGTTATACCTTCGATAAGAGTTGTAATTGATGGCTGTATTTCAAAGGAATTGTATTTAAATGTAAGTGCACCGCAAGTCTCTGTTCCTTCTCCGTCTTTCTTCTTGGTGGTCTTCTTTGCAGCCGATAGCATCCGCTGCCATTCGTTTTCCTGTTCGTAAGAGACCAGACGAATACTAAATGCGGTGTAGCCAATGACATAAAAAAACGGGACCTCATAAAAATATCTGAACGTTGCTATGCAAATATCGAAACTTTATCTTTTGGTAGCGTCAATGTACTAGAATCGGCAACACTTGGTTCTCTGGCCATGAAAATATAAAGCAATGCGCACTTAGCAGAACATGTGTTCGATGTGTTGAAAAGGGCAGTTAAGGGCTTAGGTTTTTTGAAACAGTGGAAAAAATACTTCTATCCAGTCGATACTCTGTCATTTGCATCGCCTATTTCTACTCAACATTAGGGTACGCATACAACAAAAATCTCAGACGTTCATGGGCGACGAAAGGCTGTCCAAAGCTCTCGATGCCATTGACCATCGACGCATTGTGGGTTGTCTTATGTTTTTATGTACAGTTGCATTCAGGGCAAATGTTCCATAAAAATAACAGAGATTTATCCACCCAGTAAATCCTTTAACAGGACAACATGCGTTCCTCAGCCTTCTTACTCACTCGTCCTGAGATTACCTACGTAGTGGGATTTCAATATTTCCAGCAGAAAAATCAAACACAATGTGTAAAAGGTGAGACTTAAGCAGGAAAATATTAAAATATTACAATCATATTGTATATTTAAACAACTGTGAATTCACATGTTAGAGTGATTCTTCGAGTAATGCAAGTATGCACAAATCGCTGGATGACACGGATCTTCGGGTAAACCAAAATGGTGGATAGCAATTTGCAGCTATTTTCGAGAAACTGACAAGGCAAAGATCAAAGTCTGCTATTACAGTTAGGAATATAGTTGTATTAAAGCAGGTTCTGACGAAGTATTTCATTAAAGAAAACACAAGCAATCAGATTTTGAAGTAGGGACTATACAGCCTTATCACTGCAATACCAAATGACTTGCTGTATATTGAAACTTGCCATCGCTATGACATTACCAGTAGATCATGAAATTTCAGTACCGTTGCAACGTCACCATGTTGCTGATAAAAAGAAACATCCGTGTTTGGGGGAATAAAAGAGAAAGTTAAATGAAAGTATTTTTTATTAATATTCACACGAGTGGCGATAGATTCAACGTCAGGAAGATGTTGAAATGGAAATGAGCAACGTGAAAAGGCAATTTATATGACCTGGAACTAGTCGATCTTTTCTGAAAGGATGAAAAGAGTTTGGAAAAAGTTTCTGTGAATGCTAGTCCGTCTATAACCAGTTTCTAGTAAGAACTCAGCAGGCAAACTCTGCGCTTACTGAATTTGGGTAAGGAAACATTCGGATTTTTAAAGCTGAAGAAGCTAGGTGTTTTTCCAGTGGAGTAAATTGTTTTATTAAGGACTTATGTTTTGATTTACGTGAGATAATTTCCATGCTTTCCACTAGAGCTAAAACATTGAAAGACAAGAAAGCTCTAGGTTGGAGATAATTTGAAAATAGCAACGCCGCTCAGATTAAGAAATAGGACTTTTCCAGCAAAATAACCTTTTGGCGTGAGCCATTCGTTATTCACCTTGACACAAATACTGTTTTAAGGCTGTATTGCCGTCAAGAAAACATTATTCCTATTACGAACCTTAAGAATCATGGAAAAAAAATAAAAAGGCTGACTCCACTTATATGCGTAACTTGCTATCTTGCATATTCACCGAAAGAAATCGGAGGGAAAGGGATTTATTATTTTTGTTTATATTTTCTTGTAATTTGGAACGTAGCGAATGGAAGAAGATATTCTTATCGCAATAATACAGGTAGTTAGTGTTCCTATGGTGGCTTAAGTAGCTATTGTTCCTGTTAGGTAGCTATATTAGCGATTAAGGAACTATTAATTTTATCTGAACGATTTAGTCCGTAAGGTACATCTATGGCGGTAAACGTGGAAACCGAGCATCAGGGGTAGATAAAAGAAAGTTAGGTAAGGCTGGAGGGGAAGGATTACAAAGTACAGTATGAACTGCTGTTTTACAATTCTGAGAAGAAGCTGAGTATTTTAAGTATCAACACTCATCGAACACCGTCCTTATTTTCTCAACTTTTGTAGACAATGCCATGAGCTCTTTCCTAGTATGAGAAAAGCCCTTTTTTGTCTGCAAACGGGGCATGGGTGGATCCGTAATAAACTTATAAAACAATGAGATTCTGGTCTTGTTTTGGTCTAGCATGGTGTAGGTAGACGTTCCTCATTAGAAGTAAGACAAAGAAAAAAAAAAAAAAAAAGAAAAAGATAAGAAGACATTAACTAATTATACGCAGAGATTACTTAAAAAGTACAGAAGAGTAGAACTTCTAAAACGCTGTGACGAAGGGATAGGCTTAACAACTTTTTAAACAGAGAGCAACCAACGAACAGGATATTGTTCGATTAATTTGAAAGTTTTAGCGTCCGCGTACATTTGCAATGTAAGGGTTCCGTCGGTTTGCTTTGAATACTACTCTATCGCAATAGAGTAAGTAATAACGGCCTGCCGTTATTCAATACCCTCATTCGCAAGAATAACGGCCTACCGTTATGCAACAGCCTTTATTCATAACTATCCCTCTCTCTCTTCCTTTGGAAAACGCTATTATGCAAGGGAAAAACTATGCAAAGTGAGAAAGTCCAAAGTCCGTCCGTGTGACTTAAGAACATCTTTTTCCTGCTTTGAACAAAAGCCAGTTAGTGTTTGCACTGGAAAAAGTTAGGTAGTTTTTGGACTGGAAAGAATGTTAGAGAATGAGTTTGGTGCTGTAGAGCCAGTTAGCGTTGTGCGGTCGAAAGAGGCAGTGTTGTGCTGTCCGGAATTGATTTCATGCTGTCGAATGTTTTATAAATTCTTGTTTTGGAAAGAAAAAAAAGAAGTCAACATTGCAAAATGAAACAGATCACAAAAAGGACAAGAGAAAAAAAATTAAGTGTGTTAAAAACTTCAAAAGAAAAACAATTAAATACCGTTGAAACTAAAAAGTTTAATTTGGTTTTAGCCCAATAGCTTTAAAAAAAGATTAGTTGGAGTTTCTTATCACGAGAGTCCCAGCAAAATGTGTATAATGCTGAGAAAAACTATTAACACACAACGAATACTTTCACGTATAATTGATTAACTAAAATATACTTATTATTGTTAATATTAAAATTATGAAAAAAGGAAATCAATATATTAAGCGTAATTAGCAGTCGCCTGCATGTCTCGAACATAACTTTTTTGTGAAACGCTCGCAAAGACTTCAATAGTTGGAAAAACAAAATGTAAATAAATAAGAAAAACAGAAAAAAAGGCCTTTAAATGTTTTACAAATTCTTGTCGCAAAGACTGTTTTAATTGTGGAAGAAATTTCTTAAGTAAAAATCGAAGGAATCTTAGATATTTGACACCGTGAATAGCTGAAGCATGAAAAATAAACTTAATGAGATGAACTTTTGCAACTGCACAACGAATTTATAGAAATCATTACAAAAAATATGTGGAGATCCGCCGCTTTTATGTACATGGATGGAGGGAACTGATGTCACAAAAAACTTTGCATACATTTGTTCCCAACCATACGCTCTTGGGAAGTTGGCGGAAGCAGGCATTTAAATTTTACATCCTCTGCACGCAGCCAGTGAAGCATTCATCATCATCTCGCCACATCACCAGCAAGGAATCAGGTTGTATTTTTTTTATTTTAATTTTTAATATTGTTATTAATTTCGACAGAGAAATAAATTCTAAGACTAAACTCTTGAAGCACCAGCATCTAAGGCTATCGGCTTTTAATTTTTTTTATTTATTCGCATCTATAATAAAATAGATTAAAAAAAAAAGGAATAATGCTTGGCTAAGCGGTATACTCTACTGCTGAAGCGGCATATGGGCGGATGTGCGAATGAGGGTAAGGGGACAGGAGATACGGACTAACGGACTAGGAATGGACTAACGAACAGCGGACAGTACAGACAACTCTTATTTTTTTTCAACTTTACTGTATTTCGATTTATTTTTTTTTATTTCTTTTTGTCATACGGCACGGCCAGTCGTAAAATTTCTTAAAGATTTACCGCGAAGGGGCTATGCCGTTGACAAAGTCAACGCTTGGCAAGTCAGTTAAAAATAAATTATAAAGGTAGTAAGTGAAATCAATCTAAACCAAAGCAAAATTAGTCAAAAAAAAGGAGAAGAAATTCATACACAAGAGCATTTGCCTTTGTGTTTGTTGATTGCAAAAAAAAAACTCAGATGATATAAGTTACATACACAACCCATTTGTTAAGCGCACACATGCATCGAAGCAAACCAATTTCCAAGTAAGTAAGTAGCAATCGTTAGAAAAATGTCTTTGCGCATTTTATGACCATTAGCACCTACAGTGTAGCACATTAAATCAAATGTTCTACAGGGGCTTTAATGATCATCATATACTTTTTTACCTAAGATGGTGTTAGCTTACAGGTATATATAGAGTGCGCAGGCATTTCGAGAGACGTTTTCGATGGTGTAGTTTTTTAAACTTATGTGAGTCGACTGCTGTGCAATCAAAAGACGTTTTTTGTTGCATTGTCAACTCTTGGTAACACTATGTAGGTAGTTTTTAAGATCACTTGAATTCTTCTTTTAATCTTTCCCTAAACTGGCTTTGTTTTTTCTGATGTCGGCACCGGTAAATAAAATCGTTGAAAATAATTATTTGACCTTATTTCTTTTTTTAATACTTATAAAGTATTAATACTTATAAAGTAGGTAGGTGGTCTTTGTAAATTAATATTATGAGTTATTTAAAAATTTGTAGAAGATATCCAAAGTACAGTGACTATCGAAGAAAACATTAACAAGCTCAGCCATATTGGAAGTTATGTGATTCGCAGTTGGTGGTAACGACTCTCTGCTATCGTCCTTCAACACCAAATGTTATTAATTAGGGCTTAAATGGGCTTAATAGGGCTTTTCTAAAAACGAAATTTATAAGACGTCCAGCTAGGAAAAACGACAAAAGTTGTGCTACTGCATCATCCATTTGTGAAAATCCCTTAAAGTTTAGTTATAATCATAATTAGTTCGCCGTACTATTCATGAACGACTAAGTTCTTTTTTAGTCATTGTTGTGATATTTTGTTTTATAGTGTCGCTCATTTTATTGAATTTGAAATTTTCGTATGTGAAAGCAAAAATATCCCAACTGATAAAAGATTTGTGTGACATAAAAACTCAGACGCTGCTATCATATCGTGGCATATCTAGTCATATTCATCTGGGAAAAACCTTTAGAGCTCGTAAAATAAAATATATAACTTTGCAGTAATACCAGAAAAAAGAGGAGGACTATTATTAGTAAAAGTGAATGAATTTTACATGGATAAGAATTTGAATGTAAGCCAAAATAAGCATGCGGAGGGAGTTGTCTCAATGTGATATATTGAAGGGAAATTTGTAGATTTGTTATAAAGAAATTTTTATATTATATTTGAAAAATTAAAGAAGGAAGCGTTCTCTTCAACTCTATTTTTTCTAATCCTTACATTTTTTTAATAAGCATTTTTAAAGCTTAAGAAAGGTTAAAAATGTGATCCAATGTTTCACTTACACGTGTCAATGTCATTCCCATGGATTGGCCATATGTGATTTCAGGATAATGCCTGTTCTCAGTGGCAACGTTCGAGATTATCTTTTCTTTACTTTCCACAATGGTTCCACTATTTCGGAGATATGTTATACGGTAAGTATAAGTAGTAATGCAAGTCTTTGTAAAAAAGTGATCTGCATCTGGCAGTAAAGTGAACTTCGTCTAGGAAAAACACTTATACATAAATTAATTAAATTTGTAATGTCAATGCAGCGTACCGTTTTGGCCTGTAGCTTGGAAGAGAAGTTTTGTTGAACAGTCGAGCTTGATGACAGTAACATTATTATCATTTGATTCTTTATGGTGCTGGGCGGCAATGTCATCGGCTTTTGTGTAACGTTTGAACTTTGATTTAGTGGATTGGTTTCTAATGAATTGCCTTCATCTAATTTGTTTTTATCGCTCGCTATTATCACTTCCACACCGTTCGACATTATTCGAGTGGCTAAATTGTGTCGGGCTTCGTCAAAAGGATGTGATATAGACAGATCTTGAGGTATATACGTAGCTTCGATTACGTTCACAGAGTTTTTTGCAGAATATGTTTTACCAAAAACATGTTCTGAGCTAATAACTGCTGAAGCTTTATAAATGACTGAAGAGTTCGGCAGAGATAAGGTTGAAAAAGTTGATAGTTGCAATTGCAGTTTTCCTGTGGAAATTCGAAACATTTTATTAAACTGCCCTACTTGCAACGTATTAATTAAAAATACTGTAAGTAGGATATTTTATTTTAAATTAGTTTCTATTTTATTACTTATTGTCGATTTGAACTTTCTAATATAATAAAAGGATGACTCTGATTCTGACATAAAATAATGCAAGTTTCCGTAACTGTTGTTTTTTTATTTGTTAATTTTAGCTTATTATCCATGTAAACATGAAAAAGATAAGACGCATTTTGTTTATACTTCGCGTTAATACGATTAATTTTTTAATTCTATTCTTTACCAGTTTTTATCAACGCTGCTGCGTTTAGTTAATTTGAATTTTAAATGCTGACGTAGCGAAACAATCGAAAGGGCGAAATAACGAAACTTCAGGCGACTTTGGGTACCATCCACTCGAAGGTGCACCGATGATCTCAACATCATACCACTAACTTCGCAACGTGTGCAAATTTATCGTCGCTGCTAATATCTCATACTAAAGAATCTAAGCAAAATCAGAATTCTCTGGAGAGCTGAATAGAGGTCGAGTTTTGCCTATGATCCTTGTATACGAACAAACGGCAGATGCATTCCGTTATACAAATTTCGAAAAGCGTTAAATGCCAAACAGAAAGGTTGAACCGCTGCTCTGATAGTAAATAATCCAACTCTAGCTGACGAATATGTAGCAAAAATTTACCCTCCCCCAGAGAAAAAGAAATGGTAAAATATTCACACCTAACACTTAGCACTTATTCACGAAGTGAACTAATTCAACTGGTTGTTTTGAGCCAAGTCAAATTAATAAACCTGACCAAAGAAATGAGAGAAAATGATGAATATATTGGCCCTCACCGTTAATGGAACCATTTTGAAACGTATTAATGGCACAGTTTCTACTAGTGTGACGAATTTCGTGCAATAAACGAGAGTTGGAGATTTGCAAAAGGTAAGTATCTTTAGATTAGTTCTCTCAGAAAAGAAAACGATAAAAGCAAGATTAACGGTAGTTCTCCCTGCAGTATTGATGACAACAATTGCGATAGTAATGGGGTCATTGTAAAGAATTGTGAAGAATTATAAAACTTTCCTAAATTTTATACCAGCCTACATAAAAAAGTCGATAGCGTGTTGCAAAGCTGCGGTGTTTTCTGATGAAAATTATCGTTAACAGCAGAAAGTGTAGCGAACCACGTTAACAACTCTGCCGACCATCCATGTTTAGCGTGGATTGAAGATAAAACACTTGAAAACACCTTTTGGAAGTAACCAGCACATATAAATCTGAGACGATCCAATTGAAGAACGCGAGAATCAACCAAATTAAAAGCACCATTGCAAGCCTTGCAGCTAAATAAATTTTGAATTATACTTTCTGAACTAAACAACAAGAGACGAATGACTGTACTAATGCAGTGCCGCAAATTTTAATTGGAACGCCTTAAACAAATATAATGCGTCTAGTAAAAGTTCATAACCTCCACGAAAGTTTCCTTGTACACCTATCTAAAGAAAGAAGGTATGTTAAATATACATTGGTGATGGGAAACGTTTACAACAAATGATGTATGATTATTTTACAATTTGGAGATTTGACGTAAAACCTTTAGAACCAGTTTTGTTTAAAAGTGATAGCAGAACTAAAAATATACCGAAGCAACATACAAGGAAACTAGGTTACCAATATAAAATTTTTTGGGAAACAAGAGGAACTTGTATATCGAAAGTGTGAAACTGAAAATTGAAAATTTATTCCAAAATATGTGTCTCCTCTCATCATGAAATAAACTAACATTTGCAAAAGTATTACGCACATCAAATAAATTAACGTGACTGGTTGGCGAAGGTGGTATCTTCCTCATTTTGTTCTTTAAAATGTTAACAAACAAATCATAGGCGGCTTAATTTTCGATAACGCTGCATCAATTAACGGCACTTCCTTAATTTCGAAATTAATGAAAGGACCAGCTCAGCAACTTAAGCCGCTTTCATCGTTATTAATGTGATTCCGTCATGTTAACTGGTCCTTGGTGTGTGCCTATATTCGTCATATGTTTCTTCGCGCAATATAAAAAGATGATCAAGATGAATAAAAATAGCAAAATTCAAACCATTATTTGCCAGCTCGCCATTCTCGCCACCATACATCGAAAGTATTAACGCAAAATTAATGAGAAGCAATAAACCACATGCTGTGAAAGTCAGTAAGAGCGACTGCCCTGACTAAAGAGGTTTTAAATATATAGCTACAAGCAGAATTCAACTTTTGGCTTTCTATCGAAATTAATTTTCTTTGACAAATTCTTGATGGTGTTAATGAAACTGGCTAAGCGATCAATTTGTCTGCGAATTTAAATGATAGAGAAAAAGTTAGGTATGTTCGGGTATCCGCGAACAGATTAATTGGGCTTCAAATTTAACGTCAAGAGTTCTCCCAAATAAATTGTAGGTGGAGACAGTCGCCTGACTAGATGGGAAATTTTGTGATCACTTCATTTTTTTCGGCAGATATTATAGTAAGTTCAAAACAGACAAGAACTACAGGGAACTACTATAGATGGAAACACGCCTACTGTTAAAGGTTAGACGCCGTCTAATAAGCTCGGTTCTGTAATATCCTAAAAACAAAGTAAATCTCGAATGTCGCGAAACCTAATTTGAGCGTAGCGCGAATGGTTGAGTTAGGATGTGGTTCAGAAAATCGATTATAAATTTTATTTCATTTTTTTATGTTTCTTAACATAATGATCCTTGCATGTTCATACCAATGATAATCATACCAAACATATATATTTTTTTAAAATCATAACATATTGGAAAACATATAAGGAATTCCTTTCTAAAGGAGTCATCACGACCAGTTCACGAACAATTCGCCTAGAGTTGAACTACATATCCTGACGCTAGTAAAACCGTCCTCTCAGCTATAGCTTCCTGGAAAAACGTTTACGCGTATAACGTTTACGTTGTCTTTGTTATTGGAAAATCTAAACGCCCTTTAAAACACCCCCTATTCCTAGATAGGAATTACTTGTTGTGATACTGCGAGTGGGCCTAAATTACACTATGTTAAGAAATTACTATGTAAAGGTATCAAAAATAATCTTTTTGTCAGACTCCAAAGTCATTAACATGGTAAATTCCGATAGCTTTTCCTACAAACAACGGGTTTCAAATCAAATAGGGCAAGTCTTCAAAATTTCCTATAATTTGCAATGCAGATGGACTCCTGATGCCTAGAAACTAATAGATGACGAAAATTGGAAATCCTCCTCAAATTCACATTGATTGTCCGGATCACTATTTCTGCAACAATCCGAACGAAATTGATCACAAAGGTGTCTTCGTACAGCCAATTACGATTGTGAGGCTGAAAGGCGCTCAAAAACGTTAAACATAATTATCAAAGAACGTTGTAAAACTCCTATAGAAGATTTTGCCAATTACCAGGGTTACCTTTTGGATTCAACGAGCTATGAGGAGTTTTCATTAAAACCATTAAAACGTGGAATCTCGTCCCCAACATTATCAGCTATAGAAGGTAAGGACGCCGAAAAACTTATATGCCTTATAACAGTAAGGCCACCGACCGACTTCACAATTACGCTTTGGAGAGGCTTTTATATCATCAGCGCCATAATTATGAATACAGTGGAGAGTATCCTTAGGGATAAAAATATTTTTTGCCAAAATTTGATATTTATGGATTTGTATTTACATTAAGTAATAATAAAAATTTTAATAAGGATGAAAGATAATAAAAATGTTATATAAACTAATAATAAGATTTAGAATAAGTAATTGATTAGTACCATAATTGATGAATGAATGAGATGATAAAAATAATGCTTATCTAATAGGGAGATAAATTAATAACATGGTTATTATAATATAACAATATAATGTAAATTAATAAGTAAATAGATGATATTGAACGGATTAATTATTATATTAGGTCATATTGAAAATTCTCCGCGCGTTTCTCCGCGAGATGCCTATTTGTCGGGCAACACTCCTCTGATTGTCTCATGTGCCTAAAAGGTGACATTTCATATTACATTTTTTGTGCATTGTCTAATTCTCTGCTCGTGTAGAAAGTTATATTGCTTTGAAAATCGGTAAAATATCTGAAGAAGTACGTTACATGATGCTTTTTTACAAAAAAATTTGTTAAGTGTATATGGAGTATTTTGTCATTGAATAAAGGACCTCGGATTGCTTGATTCCGTTCTGGAAATTTCGACGTCTAAGATGCATCTCACAGTCACTGAAAAAGTCGATGAAATTTTGCAACTGGTTGAGCAACAACGGCACGAAATAGCGTAGATATTAAACCACATGGCAGTTTCGAATTATTTGAAAATTACAAGCTACAAGTAGAAGCTTGAAACCGCAGAGATTTTCAAAGTGACCTTTAATATAGTATAAAGTAAACAATATATTATTAGTATTATTAACATAAATGAAACAACTAGTATATTGAAAAGCAAAAGTTGTTAATATAATAATAAAAACGTAGTTGTTGCGTTTAATAAACATAACATACTAATCTTGACGCGCTTACGATAGTGAATTATGAACATTTAAACGCATATACTAATTGTTAAATGCTCTGTCTTATAAACCACACAAGCTTATAAACTTGTGCGAGCTGCTGAGGAATTTTTAATTAGAGGAAATGGCGTTCAGGCATTTCAACTTCGGGAGAGAAAAAGTTATTTCGATTCGAAGTGACAATTTCATCTATATTTGGAATCAGAAAAAGATACTTATATTATAAAATCATTAATTTATAAACTATATACGTTAGAAATGATGTTTATAATAAATTGCCGTCTGGTACTATCGCTGTCAGTCAGACAAAATATGCTGACCACTGCAATATTGCCAGTTGTTTAATACGCAAATAATTAAGAAAAATAATAGCATGAATTGACAAACGGTATTTGCATAATCACTAAAAAAAGCAATTGGAAATATGCATAGACAAAAAAAAAAAGAATTTAAAAGTAAAAGGAAAAAATGAACCATGTACGTACGCATATGTAAACATGAACACTTATGTTAATACGAATGTTTTAAAAGTATATATGTTGACTAATATTGTACTAAAATTAAAGTTAAAGCAAAACTAAAATAAAAGCAAATATAATGAGTAAGATTATGCTCAGATTAAGTTGATATGTTAAGCTATGTTAGATACATTACATTAACGGACCAAAGCTTTTCTTAAAGTACGATAAAAAACTTCGCGACCGTCGTAAGATTTTCAAAACAGTGATTTAAAAAAAAAATGCTGTAGGTCTAGGAAACGCTTTCACATTTGTGAAACCTAAATAGCTTACATTGTACGTTAGTGTTGGCTTTCCAATGTTTGTATTGGTTGTTTAGAGTTCATGAGAAAAAAGAACTGTAGATTTATAAGTTTATACGAAAAATCAGCTAAAATTGAGGAGAACGTTTTTACATACAAACAGTTGAAACAAAATAAAGAGTTTTAAGTTTGTGAAAGGTAAGTAAAATAATTCTCCATTTTTTATTGGTTTTTACTTCAATTGTCTATTTAATTAATAGTTCGGAAACTCTGCGCGCGCGCTGTGATCATGTTTTTTTTTACATTATGCGTATAAAATTTGTGTATATATATTTTTTTTTGTTTTAAATGGTTTTAAAGCAGAAAGCAATGGAAGTTTGGAAAACTGTCAGCACTTGTGATAGAATTTGTTCTCTGTGAAAAAATAAATAATTTTAAAAACAGTCAAATTTAAGAAGAATCAAATTTTCTTTTCTTGGATCAAAAAGAAAAATCCTTATTTGCTGATTGACG